GCGGGGGCGTTGACCCCCGGAGCACTACAGGTATACATGTACAGATTTGGGCTGTGTATGTCCTAATTTATCATTTTTATTGTAGAATTTTTAATATTTGTCAATGCCTTTTCTGATTTCCTTCAATCTATCACCTATTTATATTACTTATGCCGCATTCTGCTATTCCAGTCACGTCCATTGAGGTACAAATTCGAATTCAAAATCCAAGTTTTATTTCTTTTTATGCAGTACAAAGATAAAGTAGATAACATGTAATATACATTGTTAGGTACAAAAGAAAGCCACTAGTATGCCATATTTCTAGTAGAAATATGACAGTATGCTATGTATACTAGTGAGGACTGAGGCTGTATAATACAGGTGTACCTTCCTGGGATACTACAGTGACCGACACGATGGTATAAGTTTCATTCTCCTATATGTGGGTTGTTTGTGCATTGTTTCAATAATAGTACTGTGCCTTTTTTTGGGTTATCCAAGGTAATGTACACATATACTCCTATTTATGATAATTTATGTAACTATTTATGTGTCCATATCAGAAAAATTTTCCGACTTTTTTTCTGACTTCGGGTGAGCTTAAATAAACCCTAAATTTGGGTGTCCCTAAATTTAAAAACTCAGAAAAATGACCAGGAAGATGCGAGTTGTGGTGAGGTGTTGGTTTGTTGTACGAGAGAGACAGCAGCGACGGACCGTGTCTGGGGAAACCCCAACTACCGTCCCTTTTTTGATCAAAAAAAACCTGTTTGCCTCCATAAAGGTGCTGTATGACCCCTAGGGTTTGTAATATTCTGCTTTGAGTTGAATGGGGATTTTAAAACTTTTGATATTTTACTGTATGAATGTGGGTTTGGGTTTGTTTTTAATTAAAAATTTATTGTCTTGTTTTCCCCGCGTTGTAGACCTAAGGGTTTGGTTAGTTGTGAGGTTATTTTAAAGAGTATGATAAGAGACAACAAAAGTGTAGGGGCCCAAGTGTTCAACTCCTCAGGATTAAGGGGGATTCCCAATAGACCCCGGGGCTTTTCTTCAAGAAGGCGCTAGACGGAACCTGAGTCTCCCTAAACCGACTGGGCGTGGTTCAATGTCTGTCTGTGTGCCCCAGCAGAAACACTTAGTTGATCGGGCTTGATCCCCCCTGAGATTGGTCAGGATGGTCTATGGGAGTTGTTGCCCCCCTTGAACCCCACCGGTATACTCCGGGCATTCCCAGGGGCTTTCTATATAGTTTCTTGATGTCAGCTATAGTATGATAAGTTGTATCATGTACTTGTAGGCATCAAGATTAAGTTTTTTTTTCCCTATTTTTCATTTGTTTTTTTTATTCACATTCCCCCTAACTGAAGTCATCCCAAAGTCACGGCCATCCCACAAATACCCCGCTTCTCGCCGATCAGCGAAGAAATTTGTTTTTGGGGTTGTACTTACTTAGAGGGTAACTGCCGGGGAACAAAAATGCTGTTGGCATCACTCTTTACAAGGACCCAATGGAAAAAGTCACTTTGTTGACTTTTTTATTGTGTTTCCTGGTAATCTAACATATGCTGCTATGTATGATAATTTAGTACATAACTGTATTTCATGTACCTGTACTGAATAAACTTCTAAAAAGGTCCAAAATTTAGTGCCTTCAGCCCGTTATGGGAAAGGTTTCAAATACATGGAATTAACTTCATAAACCTTTTGTCTGTCTCTTCTGTAATATGGAGACCAGAACTGAGTAGCATAATCAAAATAAGCCCTTTCCAAATATGCATATAAATAACTTGCTGTAATTTCACTATATTAAATCATTTTATAAAACTTAAGATTCTTTAACACACCAAACTAGCCACCGAGGCGGGTTGGCCCCAAAAGGAAAAACGAAAGCTTTTCCCTTTTACATTTAGTAATATACAAGGAGAAGGGTTACTAGCCCTTGTTCCCAGCATTTTAGTCACCTCTTAAAACATGCATGGTTTACAAAGGAAGAATTCTGTCCCACTTCCCCATGGAGATAGGAAATAAACAAGAACTAGTAAAAAAACAAAAAAAAAAAAAACCCGAGGGGTGTGTTATATATGCCTGTACTTCAGTTTGTGTGCCCCCAAATGTAAGTGCAAGATGTGCCGAAAACTTGCTTGTGTATGAGACAAAAAAAAGACACCCGCAATCTACCTCATGTAAAACAATTGCAGGCTTTCGTTTTACACTCCTTGGGAGGGTGTGTACCTCTTGGGCAGTTGTTGTTACCAGCTACTACCTAGAAACTTAAGATTAGACCCAATTTAAAAATATGTAAATGTTTTGTAATTAACCACTTTGTCATAAATCTATATTATCGGTATGCTAAAAGAAATAAAATATTAATTTTTTAGTTTTTATTAACACATTGGCCATTTCCGCTGAGGTGGGTAACCCAGAAAAACGAAAAAACACTTTTTCATTATTCACTCCCTCACTGTTTTTGCCAAAAGCGTGCAGTTTAAAAGACTCCAACATATGTCACCCCTCCTGAGTACAGGCACTATACTTCCCACCTCCAGAACTCAAATCCAGCTAATTGGTTTCCCTGAATCCTTTTATAAATGTAATTTGCTCATACTCCAAGAGCACATCAAGATTTTTAAAACCTTTTTGTTCCACTTGCCCCTGTTTAAACATGCTCACGCCCCATTTGCTGGAAGTCCAAGCCCCTCGCACATAAAACCTCCTTTCCCTCCTCCAACCTTTTCCTAGCATGCCCCCTACCCTCCCTTTCCCCTTTCACTATAGATTTTACCCCCTCCAAGTCATTCTTTTTTTGTTCCTCCTCTAAATGTCTGAATTGCCTCAACAACCTCTCCTCAGGCCTTGGATAATACTTTTAAAAACCCCCACACCACCTAATCTCCAAACTACGGGAATCTTGCATAATATTTACACTGCACATTGCCCTCAGAACGACAGCTCCATTTCCTCCAGTTTTCCCTCTTGTTACAACATTGCTATCTATTATTATTTATTTATTTATTGATATCTAGTATTGTTTATAATTAATAGTTAAAAATAGTCTTTATTTCTACAAGTACATGTACAGACCATAGCTGACATCACTGACATACTACTATATAGAAACCCCCCCTTGTTATGCATAACATTTCAGGCAAATTAGGCCAGTTTTGTCCCAGGATGTGACCACACCAGTGACTAACAACCAAAAAACCATTTTATGATGGGTTAACAGGGACAGCAGGTACCCTTTAGGAACACACATCCTAATGTTTCCTGCTGTACCGTGCAATTGATCCCACAGACCTCAGTGTGTGAGCCGAGTGTGCTAACATTTAGATGACTGCTCTTTGTTGGATTTTGACAATTATATTTTAGAATTGTAGGTAATTATTTAGTTTAGTGGCATTATTGAACTTGTTGAGAGATTTTATGTAAATTCTTCTTTATTAGGTGGACTTTGTGGCAGACAGTTGTATTTTGGGCCTATAAGATGCCAGCTGTTTTTTTTTTTTTTTTTTTGGTAACTAAATGTAGCTTAATAAACCCATCCTAATTTAGATTAGAAGTTAAATTGTAGTTTTTTTTTAGGTTGGGTTTACGTCAGGTTACATTTGTATTTTTGGTTAATAATAATCTTCAATATCTGTTTTCACTTTCACCCAAGCCCATTGTATTTTTTTACACTATTTACAAACAGAGAACTGTTAACCTTACTGCAACTCATTTCAAAGTCTAGCCATACTTAGGTATACTAACTCCTCCAGAACACGACTCACTACTGATGACTAACACCCAGGCATCTATTCATCTGTAGGTGAACAGGGAAACCAGGTACTGTATAAGTAAATACATTCAGCATTTCCACCTGTCACAGGATTGAACCCAGGTTCTTTGGTTATGAGGTTAAGGCACTATCACCAAGCAAGGAACCATTTCTTATACCAAACTTTATGTAGTAACCCATCCTCTTAACTTTCATTAGCATCTGTGTGGATTTCTCATATACCATTTGTAGCAAATTTCTCAGTTAGGTTAGGCTGCCCTTTATTCATAAAAAATAACCAATGATAACATACCACAGTGGAAAAGAATATAAATATAAGATGAAGACAAAAGAGTTCAGCCACATGAACAGAAATTGGACACCCCCTAAGTGTGGTAGACTTAACTTGTCATATTTTTAATGTTTAAGAAACTTTCATCGCTCTTCCATTTGACTGTTTTTAGAGCAGAGAAATGATGTCTGTTATTAACCCTTAAACGGTCCAAACGTATATATATGTTGACTCGCATAGCTCCCCAAATTTTTTGAGGAGAAAAGAAATCTTTTCTTTTAAAAGGAAAAAAGAGCATATGGTACCCAGGCATCCCCAATTATTTTAATATGGAACACAGTGAGTGCACACACCCATTCTCTCATGTCTAGGTGACTCAGGCTTATTGTGGCAATGTTGAATGAATGACAAAGAAAGCGTATATATACGTTTGGGGCGCTACGCGCGTGAACGTATATATACATTTGGACCGTTTAAGGGTTAAGTGTGAAGCATGATCCATGGCAACAGTAAAGCCTGTCATTGTCTGGTTGACCTGCATGATTTCTGGGTTACAGTTTTGTTAGTGACCTTAGTGCAAGGGTAGTTTGCTTGCCCCACATTTAGTTGGTTGGCAGTTTGTGCCTAACAACTTTTCCTTCATATTGTAGTGTTAGTCACAATGCAGGGGTGTTACATTTATATTTATTTTGTCATAAATTTACCATTGTTAAGTTGCATTACTTAACCTTCAAATGGAACAAGTTACATTTGTCATTAGATATATATTACATATTGTATACTGTTTAAAATTAGATGTTCAAAACATATCTTCATGTTAGCTTACAGAGTGAAGGTCATGTGAACATACATGTTAGCTTACAGAGTGAAGGTCATGTGAACATACACTCATTTATCAGTTTAAAAATTAGTTAAATATAGCATGGTTATCACTGATTAAATCAAATTTTATATATTGATTTGTCATGATGAAGTACAGTAAACCTTCTATGATGTGGGAGACTCTTGTATAAATTAGTGTGTGTTGGAATCTTGTGGAAGCAGGTAAGGGAATCAGATTACATAGTCATTTTATTGTTAAAAATATATACAGTACTGTAATGTATTATTTTATTATTGCATGTATGTCTTCGGAAGAGAAGATTCACTTTAAAACACTTAAAATGCCTTGTTATTCCAATTAGAGGAAAAGAGCGGCCAAATAATGGCACAGTTCTTTAAAGGATACGAAAAAAATTAAATTAAGTTTTCTGAGCACCATTAATATGGAGGACAAATGAGTCAAATTTTATTTCTAAGAATTACAGGGTGGTGATTCATTACCGGGTAATCAGTGATTTATTCAGTATATTCAGTACTGTATATACAGTATTGTATATCATCTAGAATTGTCCTTTTTTTCCAGAAAATTAATTTTAGCATTAGATACTATTTAAGATAGTTCTTCTGAAGCTACTTTAATCCTTTATCTACAGTCATGACTGTAGCCAAAGTTTGGAAGTTACTGAGGCAGCCAGTTGGAAGGCCCACACCAGAAAACTTCATCTGTGTGGAGGAGCAGCTGCCACCATGTGATGATGGAGGTACGATTGACACATGACTTTTCAATGATAATTCTTCAGCTATTGACCAAGTAAATACCTGTAAGATCTTAAAGACATACAGAATTTTTGCTGCACATGTTTTATTAACCCTTAAACTGTCCAAACGTAGATCTATGCGGTTGCTCCTGTAGTGCTCCAAACGTTGATCTATATTTTTTTTTACAATGTTTCTTATGGAGAAAATCATGGTAGGAGCTCTATGCGCACAAACGTAGTTTTCGTTTGGACAGTTAAGGGTTAAGCTTGAATTCAGGTGTGAATGTATTTTTTTTATGCTTTTTTTGTAGTCTTGTATATCTAGTCTAGTTAAACTATAGGTTCCTCTGTAAATAAGGAATTTGTGTTTCCATGCTGTTGGAGTGTGGGCAAGGTAAACATTTTAATGGAATTGGGGACCATGGTTAGCGAGACTCAGAGTCCTGGAGGTGGGAAGTACGTATCTACACTGAATGATAGGGTTGGGGATGCTGTAGTTCAAAGGATTATTGAATCACAACATATCCAACTTCTAACAAGACAGCTGACCCCTAAGTGACTTAATGATGTGAGCAACATGTTTCCTTTGAATTACCGACCTTTGTGGGAAAACAGCCAATATGACAAAAATATTCTCTAATTTACTCTCTTAACATACCATTCTCTCAAATATATTTTCAATTGTCAGATGTTATAACTGAAGCTGAATATCTAAGTGTGGACCCTTACATGAGATACAAAATTCGACAGATCCCTCTCAACTCCACATGGTGGGCTCACAAGTTGCCAGGTTAGTTAAGTTTCTCTACATTTACTTAAGATATACTGTGCGCTATACCATGGAACCTCAGTACTCGAACAGCTCCCTATGTGAACAATTTGGTATTCGAATGCTTTGTTCGGTAAAAAAAATCGCTTGGTAGTTGATTGTTTGCTTGGCACTCAACCAAACAAACATGACCATGCCAGAACTTTGCTGTAAACTATTTCGTGTTTCTTTGCATTTTTTTTTATATTTGTATAAATAAGACTCCAGGCGGACATCAACCAAATCTTTAAATAGGACGCAGAAAACATATGAAGTTCAATGATGAGAAATTTCAGTTACTCCGATATGGAAAACGTGAGGAAATTAAAACTGTATTGGAGTATAAAACAAATTCCAACTACACAATAGAGTGAAAAACTAATGTAAAAGACCTGGGAAAGATAATGTTAGAGGATCTCACCTTCAAAGACCACAACATTATATCAGTCACATCTGCTAAAAAAATTGAAAGGATGGATAATGAGAACCTTCAAAACTAGGGATACCAAGCCCTTGTTGACACTCTTCAGGTCACTTGTTCTGTCTGGGCTGGAATATTGCTGCACACTAACAGCATCTTTCAAGGCAGGTGAAATTGCTGACCTAGAAAATGTACAGAGAACCCTTATGGCACACATTACTGTGATAAAACACCTCAATTACTGGGAACGCTTAAAGTTCCTCAACCTGTACTCCCTAGAATGCAGGCGGGAGAGATACATGATTATATACACTTGGAAAATCCCAGAGGGATTACTACCAAACTTGCACACGAGAATCACTCCCTATGAAAGCAAAAGACTTTGCAGACAATGCAACTCCCCCCAATGAAAAGCAGGGGCGCCATTAGCACGATAAAAGACAACACAGTAAGTGTCAAGGTTCTAAGACTGTTCAACTGCCTCCCAGCATATATCAGGGGGATTACCAATAGACCCCTGGCTGTCTTCAGGAAGGTGCTGGTCAGGCACCTAAAGTCAGTACCTGGCCAGCCGGGCTGTGGTTCGTACATCGGGTTGCGTGCAACCAACAGTAACAGCCTGATTGATCAGACTCTTATCTGGGCTGCGTGGGCATTACCCCCGAAAACCTTCTCCAGGCATACGCCAGGTAAGACTTACCTGGAAAATTGATTGGGAAAATTCATTCGGTACCTGAACAGATCAGCACTCAAACAGCCTTCTATAACGAATTAAGTTCAAGTACCGACGTTCCACTGTATTTTTGAACTATAACTATTAAATTATATAGTTACTTTGCAACTATTGCAGAATTTATTTTCTTGACTTCAAATGCAGTTGACAGCTTAAGTCCTACATATAGTGCTGCATTGTACATAAAATACATACATGTATGTATGTAATGTAATGTACTCTCCTATTTGTGGTTGCAGGGGTTGAGAACATAGGTCTGGCCCTTCCTCTTCACTGATCACTGCTAGGTCCTCTCTCCCTGCTCCATGAGCTTTATCATACCTCATCTTAAAACTATATAGGGTTTCCCTGCCTCCATACATCGCTTACCAGACTATTCCACTTCCTGACGACTCTGACAAAAAAAATACTTCCTAACATCTCTCTAACTCATGTGAGTCTTCAATTTCCATTTTTTGAACCCTTGTTTCTGTGTCCCATCTCTGGAACATCCTGTCTCTGTCCACCTTGTCAATTCCTAACAATATTTTGTATTTTCATTATCATGTCTCCCCAAACCCCTTTTGTCCTCCAGTGTCATCAGGTCAATTTTTCCTTAATCTTTCTTTGAAGGACATAACCCTTAGCTCTGGAACTAGCCTTGTTGCAAACCTTTGCACTTTCTCTAATTTCTTGACATGCTTGACCAAGTGTGGATTCCAAATGGTGCTGCATACCCCAATATGGGCCTGATGTACACAGTGTACAGTCTTTTGAATGATTCCTTACTGAGGTATCAGAACACTATTCTCAGATTTGCCAGGCGCTCATATGTGCAGCAGTTATCTGGTTCATTGTGCCTCAGGAGATGTGCTCAGTATTATACTCACCCCAAGATCCTTTTCCTTGAGTGAGGTTTGCAGTCTTTGGCCACCTAGCCTATACTCTGTCTATGGTCTTCTTTGCCCTTCCCCAATCTTCATGCTTTGCATTTGGCGGGGCTAAATTTGAGGAGCCAGTTGCTGGAACAAGCTTCCAGCCTGTCCAGGTCTCTTTGTAGTCCTGCCTGATCCTCATCTGATTTAGTTCTCCTCATTAACTTCACATCATATGCAAACAGCAACACTTCTGAGTATCCCTTCTGTCATGTCATTCACTTATAGCACCAAAAATAACACAGGTCCTAGGACTGACCCCTGTAACCCCTCTCATCAGAGGTGCCCACTTTGATACCTTGTCACATAACATGACTTCTTGTTGCCTCCCTGTCAGGTATTCTCTGATCCATTGCAGTGCACTTCCTGTTATACATTCCTGATCCTCTAGTTTTTGCACTAATCTCTTATGAGGAACTGTGTCAAAGGACTTCTTGCAGTCCAAGAAACTGTAATCTACCCACCCCTCTCTCTTGTGTCTTACTTCCATTACCTTGTTATAAAACCCCAATAGGTTTGTGACAGGATTTGCCTTCCATGAATCCATGCTGGTTGTCGTTTATAAGCTTGTTCTGTTCTAGGTGATCCACCACTCTCCTCCTGATAATTTTCTCCATGACTTTGTATACTATACATGTCAGTGACACTGGTCTATAGTTTAGTGCCTCGTGTCTGTCTCCTTTCTTAAAATTGGGGACTACATTTGCCATCTTCCATACCTCGGGTAGCTGCTCAGTTTCAATGGATGTTGAAAATTGTTGTTAGTGGCACACTGTTTCTGCTCCCTCTCTAAGGACCTACAGAGAGATGTCTGGTTCCACTGCCTTTGAGGTATCAAAGTCACTTAGCAGCTTCTGCACCTCCTCCTTGGTGTGTGTATTTCATCCAATACTTATTGGTATATCCCTTGTTGGTATACCCCCCTGTTCTGACTTCCCAGAGTTCTTTCTGTGTCCACTGTAAATACTTCCTCAAATCTCATGTTGAGCTCCTCACATACTTCTTAGTTGTTTCTTGTGAGCTCCCCCACCTTCTTTCCTCAGCCTGATTACCTGGTCCTTGAATGTTGTCTTCCCCCTGATATGGCTAAAGCAGCTTCGGGTCAGACTTTACTTTTGATGCTATGTCATTTTTGTACTGTCGTAGGCCTCCCTCCTTATCTGTGTATACTGTTTCTGGCTCTTTGACTGATCTCTTTATTTTTTGGGTCCTTTGTCTTCTGTACATTTTCCATTCTCTTAGTGCCCCTTAGTTTTTGCCCTTTTACCAAGGGCTCGTTCTGATCTTCCCCTTATTTCTATTGCCCTTTGGGGAACAAACCTTTCTTTTGCCTCCTTGTATTTTGTTGTTACGTAGTCCATTTTGTTTGCTGGTTTTCCTACCAATTCTCTTTCCCGCTGAACCTCCTGCAGGAAGGTCCTCATGCCTGTGTAGTTCCCCCTCTTGTAATTTGGCTTTTCTTATCCTACTCCTGTTACCCTCTCCACTTGTAGCTCCAAGGGGCCTTTCA